GAAGGCAGCTGATTGCAAGGTACCGCTCACATGGGACTCAAGGGAAGTCCATGCCAATAGTTCAAATACTAAGAAACACTGGAGAAGCTCTAGATTTTAGCACTAAAGTGCTTTTTAGGAACCCCAGTGACATTCATATGGGGATGCAGTGTTTCCTCAGACTTTCTTAAGCAGAAGTTTTTATGAGGAGTATTTTGAAGACAATTTGTTTCTCATTTCCTTCCTAGGCAATTCAGTTTACCCTCCTCTGCCCCCATCTGTTCTCTAAGAACTGAATTCTTGAGTAAATAGCTTGAGGAAAGGAACTCTCGAGTCCAACACTATTGACTTCTGATCCCGCTATACATGAAGCCTGTGGGGCCAGATGAAGGCTGAGCCAAATATAGATGATTTGTCAAAATACTCCTGAATTGATTTTCCCTCAGCCAAAAGAAGTGACCTGCAGTAAGTTTCCCCCAAACAAAGTAAGTGTCACCCTTATTTAAATATATTCTCTCTTTGCACTAACGATGAATAAGAAGTGGAAGTGAAAGCTCTAAGGGATACTCTTTCTTAGGGGTGTGTGAAGGGGGCCCTATTCAATTCGGATTCGGCCTGAATCAGGAACACTGATTTGATTCGTGGATTTGGATCACTGTCCCTGCTTCAATTCGACCTAATCTGAATCTGAGGATTTGATGCTGATTTGGAGAATCAGTGATTCAGACATAGACACAGATTTAAAAGTTTTTCTGCATGCCTCTACATGCGGCTTGTGAACACTGCGGTGCTGGGGTGCACGGAGTGTCCCACAGGAGCGTGGGGGGACCCTCCACATGCTCGGCAGCAAACCGAGAAGTATTTCCGGTCCACTTCTGGGTCCACTGGGGAGCACACTGGGAGACCCTGCCCCCCACATCCCCCAGCTCAGATTCCCAGCCAGCACTGGATGGCCACTGCTGGCTGGGAACTCTTTAGTCTGAGGCACGCAAAGTGCAGGCACACACAGTATATGCACAATGGAGTACATACAGGGTCAAGTCCCTAAAGACCTTCAAGTCCAGTCGGTCCTGAGGCTGCTGTGACTGTTGGGGCACCTTAGATGCTGTTACAATCCTCCTAGGTTAGTTGAGTGGCTTTGTGTCACTGGTCATTTTCTGGGCAGTGACCTGGCGGTGCCCATCTTCTCTCCTGGTATGGCTGGGTGTTCCCTCGCAGAGAGCTCATCTGCCATTTGACAGGTGTTGTTTTTAGTCCTGCTGGGTGTCCACACACCCTCCTCATCCAGGATAGCCCAGGTGTGGGTGCCAGTTTAATTGCTGACAACCTGACCATGGAACAGGCTGTACTGGTTTACATGGTACCAGATAGCAGACCAAGAGAGGCCTGGCCTGACAAGCAAAATACTTTCAACCATCCATATTTGAAAAATGCTGTGGGGTGGCCATGACAGTCACAGTGCTAGAGAAAAGCATTCTTACATGGCAGGCCTATTCAACACTAGCACAAATTTCCAGAGCGGCATAATCATGGAACGGAGTGAAAATGTCTCCTGAAGAGGCAACAACATTATTTTCCTAATTGTACAGGATGCAACAATTGGCCCTTGAAATGGCGCATGTCCAAACTTGTGCCCCAAAAGGCCAGCAGTCTGCTTTTATAGACCAAACTCAGTGCAAAAAGGAAAGCTAACCACTAAAGGAAAAGTTCAAGAGTCACTGTGCTAAAACTCTCTATGGACTGCAATTTCCAGACACTGTGGTCACCAGAATCACAGCAGGAGACACTGTGTAGCCCTGGCTGAATAAGTCTGCCACCTGGGGCTCCAGTCTGTCTCAAGTGTTTCTTAAATCCATCACCAGCAAGACCTAGTCAGAGTATTTCTGCATGCTGCAGTCATCCTCGGGTCAACAGTCTCATTGTCTTCACTTCCTGGTTGTTACAAAGATTGATTCTTCTGATAATGGAAGCTGTCCATCAAGCTCACTACACAGCCTTTTCTTTGTTGCCGCAGGGTAGAAAGATGCCAGCAAAATGAAGAGCACTGATAAAAGAGATGACCTTCCTTTACTCTCTCCCTCACTCCAGTCCTCCCTAGAAGGGCCCTGCATCTTCAGAACTGGCACCATATATCAATCTAAATGACTGACCCAGGAGGAGAGAAGTATATGTCTGGAATAAACTGATTACCCAGCTGGCCACTAGACATGAAGATTGTACTACTGATGCAGAGCCTAGTGAGGACAAATCTGTCTTGGCAAAAGTGACAAATACCAGAACAGAGGTTTTACCTTGTCCTGTAACTTCAAACCCAAGCACTCCAGAGAGGAAGGAGCCTCTGTTTCAGCACACTGGCCTGTTTCATCTTGTACAGGTGTTACATTAGTGCATTGGCAGGGAAACAGCTGGCTATACAGAGAGTGGACCCACGGGCAAGTAAGGATTAGTAATCATGGGACTGATCCCAAAAGTCCAGTTGGGGCCAGGGCTTTGGATAGGCCGAAGGTCAAAGGGTGGTCACAGCCAGAGAAAAGAGGATCAGAGTACTGGTGGTACAGTGTAGAGAGACGCAGGGTGCAGTACCATCTGTGATGATGGGGGTCCAAGAGGGAAAAGCATGCCAGGCGAGAGGGAGACCTGAGGGAAAGTACTGGACCTCTGAACCAGTGCAGGGAACAGAAGAGGGCTTATGGGGCAGGAGAAGGCATCTGGAACAAGTGGCCTCGGAAGCCTGCATAGGGGATGGGGCTGTGCGAGACCGAGCACTCTGAAGGCCCAGAAGAGGGCTGTGTAAGAGACTGAGGGTCTGAGGATCTGGAGGAGGGCTGCGTGAATGTAGATGTGTGACAGAAAAATTGTCCACGATGATCCCTTCTGCAAAGTGTACAGCATGGTGTAGGGAAGCTACGGAGCCATGCAATTAGCTCATAAGTCAAAGGACTATAGCCACCGGGTAGTCACTAGAGCAAAACCAGGTCTGGAAAGCCCTGGGGCAGCCTCCCTTTTATAACCATAAAAGACATCAAGATGTGGCAGGAGAATGAAGGGGAGACTGTTCCCAGAGTGAGCAGGGCAAAATGGGAATTTTTGGAGGCCTCCAGGGGCTTCTGGTTACCTCTGGGGATGTCACCCTGTTATACCGGTCATGTCTTGCAGTGGAGGTAGTTCCACTCTGTGTAATCCTAATGAGGGTGCCCGGGGAATAATGCATTTGGTATTGGGACCCGAAGACAAGCACATCTCAGATGTGCTCTATTAACAGAGGAAGATGCAGTTCTTCCTTGAGGATATATATAAAGTTTACCCCACAGGGCACTCTTTTCAGCCATCAGCTACCCAGGCAAACCAAACTGCTTTCACTTACTGTAGCCTTGTTTAACGGAACAAGATGAGGGAAGCAACTCCTCCAACAAATGCCAGTGAAAACAGCAGGCCCATACAGATACTAATTACCACCCCAGCTGCTCACTAGGCCTTTCAGCTTCTGCATCTCAAACCCTCTCATTAGAGCTCTGTAGAAGTTCTTTCCCCTCTATCACTGTGCTCCAAAATGAGACTCTCTCCATGGGACTGCATTAACCCCTTCCTGCAATCAGGATGCACAGAGCCTATATAGACTGTCACAACACTTTAATATCAGCAAAAAAAAAATATCAGAGAAAGCAGTGACAAATACAACCTGAGGGCTGCACAGGGCAATTTACAAATAGATATTAAAGCTACAGATGGCAAACAGTTCATCAGAGGCAGCCTGAGAAAGGTGTAATCCCTACAGCAAGCAAGTAATTGCTTGGTACAGTCCAGCTGGGCATAATTAGGGCCCACAGGATGAATACAAGTTACAGCTAAATATCTGATGCAGGTCATCTCTGACTAGAAGGGTTGGGAAGCTTGTTGCTTTGGGTCTTTCATACTAGACTGGAAGATACTAGTGAAGCTCCTGCATGGACCCATCTTGTGCAGGCAGGGACCACACTGAGCAATCTACTACACATAGCTCTTCCTTCTCTAATACCCAACTATAACAGCATGGTCTGTCCCTGTAAGAAGGGGTAGCCAGGTCTATTAGGGATCTGCAGCTGCGGCGCCTTCTGCTAATAAGGGAGCATCCCACAGACAGCTTAAAACCTGGAGGGGGGAGAAGGGTAAGCTGTAGGGGAACAGTTTGCAGAGAAGAAAGCCATGAGTCGAACAGCTTGCTACAAAGAGGAGCAAACCTGCTCTGCTGGAGGCCAGAATCAAGGGGATTCCCCTCCTAGTGCCTGGGACAGGGCATAAAGATCTGGATTTGTTTGAGGCTTAAAGACTGTTTTAGTGGGGAGGAGTGACTGAGGAGCTCCTCAGGGAACAAACCTGCTCACAGAAGTCAGGATGCTAAGCAGTCCCTTTATACCAACTCTGATGCGCAGCTTTCTACCCGAGTTCAGTTTGCTAATGGAAGGATATGGCCAAACTGTGGTACTGAGTGATTTGACTACATGCCGAGCACTCCTAAATTTTGCAGGAATGGTAGTTTATCGGACCATATCTTCTGTTTCCATCCTCCCATGTGCATGATGAGGCTGGGAGCTGGGAAATATCATTCTGTAGCAAAATACTCAATGCTGTGGTAGCTGAGGAAAAATACTAGGTTCCCTGGCCACACAGTCAGAGTCTGCAGTAGCTCAAACAAGATGGTCAGGGAGGGTCTCTGCACTCAGCCATGGTTTAAGCTCTTTTCCAGAGCAGCAGCATTTTCCATGCGGGTCAATTTATTTTTAAGAAATGATCTTCATAGCCAGAAAGGCTAGATACTTAGCATTAAAAAAAAGCTGAAGGGAGCAATAAATGCCACAGTACATTGTGTAATTGCAAAACTGGAGCATACATAGCGTTCTGAACTTGGTTCAATGGCACAGAAGCCACTGATCAAAGTCTAGTAGGTACACAAGATCCCTTTAGGGAGCTAAGAGACAGACTGGTGCAGGAGTCAGGAGGCCATTCCCTTACAGTCTGTAGGAACGCTGCAAACAGCTACTTACTCTTTAACTTGGAGCGCACTTTGTTTGCCGTCTTTTTGATGTCGGACATTAATTCTTCTAGCTCCTCCTTTGTTTCTAGAGGGAAAAAGGAGAAAATAAAGTTGGTTGCCTTGGAGATACTCAATGATCCCACTTTGGTCAAGTCACTAAATGACTCAGTTGTTCAAGTCCTGCAAGCACATGCAGCCTCCCTGCATTCCCTCCCAAAAGGGCAACATGGGTCCCTTCAAGAACCTCACATTGTTACCCAGGCAACCTCTCCCTCCAACCAGCAATCCTGCACCCATCCGGTTGCTACTTTTAGGCTCACCAGAACCAGGGCATAGGTCACCGTTGCCCAGCATCAGAAACTGAGGTCCTTCTGCCCAGGAGTCAAAGACCACCTCACCTGCATTCCTGCCTTCATGACCTCCAGAACAGGAGGATGTAGGGTTTGGTCCCAAGAAGGATAAGGCTCAGCACCCTGCTCTTTCTTGCCCTGGTATCTCACTGCAAGAAGGGTCACAGCCGGGTGCTAGTGTGAAGCACTTCCTCCCCCATCCCCACCAGGTTTAGCAGCTGGAGTCTACAGTGCTGCCCGCCCTCCCTTGGGGAAGCAGATTAGGAGAGTCACTGCAGAGCAGGTGAGAAGCTTGTGACTTCAGGCTTGTGAGTGAGACCACTGGCACCAGAAATGAATCCTGTCAAGCCCTTCCCCAAGGTACCCAGCGGTACAGGGGGAGCAACTTTGATGTCAGACATGCTAGGATTTGATATGCCGATTCCAGTCTGCAGGCACTACCTGTTGATACTCTGCACTAGACTCTCACTTTGCTCTTCTACAGGGGAACTTTAGTTAGGGCCAATCAGAAAGCAGGGGTTTCACCACCTTTTCCAACCAGAAACTGGGGAGAAACAGAGTTTTAGACGACAATACTGGACAGCCTAGCTAGTGACACCCTGGGGGAGGTACACTGCCAAGAGCTTTCAACCCCAAAAGCTAGCAGTCTTCAGTGACACTGTTTGACTAATTACCAGGCTCTGCCCTCCAGCTCCCTGATGGGGAATTGTTGCCTCTTGCAGAAATATTTGGACTGAAATGACATGGGACTCACAATCCCATGTCATGAGTGGATCTGGGCAGTCAGTCATGAACATGACAAACTAATGGGATTCCATTTTTTATAGTTTGGAGGAACAAGAGACTTTTAGGTGTAAACAGAAGTATTGGCAGGGAAAATCAAGCAGTTTTTCCTCTCTCACCATCCAGGTTCCCCCAACTACTTTTGTGTCAAACTCATGTATCATTAATCTCCCTCAGTATTTCTCCAGAACAGAGGTGGGGAAAATACAGCTCACAGGCTGGATCCGGCTGGCCAAGCAATTTCATCCAGCCCATGGACAGGCGCCCATCAACTAATTGTACCTGGCCTGGCCTACGGCTGCCTCTGCTGCACTCTGCATAGGGCCAAGCCCTGCCCACTCCCATAAGGGTAGCACGCTGCACTCCCACCCTCACCTGCGGGAGGGCCCTGGCCAGTGTGTGCAGCTTCCAGACCCCCTGCCTCCAGCGGCTCCTCCTCTTGTCCCTGCTGCAGCACTCTTGGCAGTAGGTAGGGAACTGGTGGTGAGCAGGGGGGAAACTGCAGCTGCGTGGGAGCAAAGGGCCAGCACCAGGACTGGTGGGAGCCTGGAGCATAAGCCGGGACTGGCAGGAGCATGAGGCCCATGCTGGGGCCAGAGCTGGTGGGAGCACAGAGCCTGGGTCTGCAGAAGCACGGGCCAGCCTGTCTCCGTGGTGTGGGACTCCCGGGGGTCATGTGCAGCTCCCAGAACTTGGCTAGGAGCCACAGGCAATAGAACCGGCAGCCTGGCTCTGCTCTCTGCTGCCATGTGCAGCTCCTGGGACTTGGCCAGGAGTGGTGGGGAGCCCCACGCGATGGAGCTAGGCCAGCTTGGCTCCACTCCCTGCCGCACCAGCCAACTCACAGGAGCTGCATGTGGTGGCAGGGAGCAGGGCCACGCCACCGGCTCTATCGTGCAGGGCTCCCCCTAGTGGTGCACAGCTCTGGCCAAGTCCCAAGAGCTGCACATGAGCTATGGAGAGCATCGCATGATGCAGCCAGGCTGGCCTCTCCCTACTCCCTGTCACCACCTCCAGATCCTAGGACTCACCTGGAGCTGTGCAGTGCTGGGGGGCTCTGTCTGCCATTAGCCATGAGTGCCCCGACCTGCTGCTGCCAAGAGCAGGGGCTGTGTGCCCTGGGTGGGGGCATGGGGAAGGCCCTACAAACACACCCCACACCCCGCTACACCCCTCCCACACACACACGCATGCATGCATGCACAATAAAGTAAGACTTTTTTTGAGCTATTATGCAATCACCTTTCTATACACTATGCAAACACACATAAATCAGGAGAAAAATATTTTTTGAACTAAAATTAAACTATGGCAGATGTTTGATTTTTAGTATATAATTTGAGGGTTTTTCTGGTTCCAAGATGGCAACCCCCCAAAAGAAGTACTTCCAGGGGCAAGGGGAGGAACTTCCAGTGGCAAAGGTCAGGAGTTAGGGTGCGGGACTTCTGGTCCCAAAATGGTGGTCAGGGGGTGGGGCACCTGCCAAGTGGTGGGGCTACCCTTGTAGCCCTCAACAGCTCACCAGGACTCGTTAAGCAGCCCTCAAGCCAAAATAATTGCCCACCCCTGCTCCAGAACCACCCATCCAAGTCTCAACATGCTTCACAAAGTTAATAAGCCTAAACACTCTTTTGAGGTAGGTAGCATTATCCTCCACTGCACATGAGGAAACCAAGGCACAAAACACCTAAGAGATTCACCTGGAGGCAGGAAGGGAATTGGTAATAATACATGACGTAGAGCATGGGAATTACAGACATGAAGCTCATTTGTTATTTAGCACAAGCTATCCTTTTTTTCTCCTGATGAAAAGCACTTGATCTGTTGCAAATAGATCCCAAGAGCTGCTACTTCCCCTCTACTTGGCGTTGGTAAGACCACAGCTGGGGTACTGTGTCCAGTTCTGGGCACCTCACTTTAAGAAGGATGTGGATAAGCTTGAAATGGTACAGAGAAGGGCCACCCACGTGATCAAGGGCCTGGAGGATAGGCCCTAAGAGAAGAGACATCAGGAACTGGGCTTGTTCATTCTGAGTACAAGAAGAATGAGGGGTGACTTGATAGCCACCTACAAGTGGTAAGTAAAGGGTGAAGCCCAGGGTTAGCAACTCTTCAGAAAAGCACCCCCTGGGAGGATGAGAACCAACGGACACAAGCTAGTCAAGAAAAAGTTTAGGCTAGACATAAGGAAAAAACTTATTTTCCATCTGGGTATCTAGAATCTGGAACACATGCCCAGCAGAGGTGGTGCAGTCGCCTTCCCTGGCAGTGTTCAAAAGGAGGCTGGACAAGCACCTCATTGAGCTCGTTTGAGCCCAATTTCCTCCTGCCCATGGCAGGGGACCAGACTTGATGATCTTACAGGTCCCTTCCAGTCCTTCTATTCTATGATATGGCTGGTTAATCATTGGCTATTGGTATCAGCCAAGGAAATCTTTATCAGTGCACCCCTACTTTTCAGTGACCTAAGCACCCTCCCTGTCCTTCTTGTTCTAGATGCCACTGGACATAGGTATTTTGATCCTGCTAGGTCTGCATAGGTCATTCACAGATAGCCCTTCAGTAAAGGATTTCCATGAGGTAGTGACACCTGGAAGATACAGGAAAGGAAAAGTTTAACCTGGGCTGAAAACTCGCTTTGTTGAAAAGAAGTAGAGCAGGGAAGGGCAAATATGGTCTATGGGCCGGATTCAGCCCATCAACTAATTGGATCTGACCCACAGGCAGATGCCTGCCAACTGATATTGTCCAGCCCATGGCTGCCACTGTGGCGCGCCACAAAGGGCCGAACCTCGTCCACTCCTGCCCAGGGCAGCCACCCACTCTGCCCGCTTGATGTCATGAGCAGCCACTGTTGGTGGCTGAGTGGGTGGAAGGTGGCCAGGAGCTGGAGCCCCATGCGCTGAGGCAGGGCCACCTGGCTGCAGCTTCTCCCTCCCCCCCCGGCTAGGCATCTGCTGCCTGGCACAGGTTCCCATGTTACCTGCTGCCTGGAGTTGCACAGCTGGGACAGGAGCCACTGAAGGCATGGGGAGCCAAGCAGTATTTGGGTAGCTGCGGGAGCAGCCCCACCAGGAAGCTGTGAGTGCGGGCTGGGCCTGGGGCGGTGCTGTCTGGTGGGCAGGGGGTGGGTTTGGGCAGGAATGCAGCATGGGCTGCCCTGGGCAGTTGCGGGTGGGGCATGCCCCCATGTGGAATGCTGTGGGGGCAGCTGCAGGCTGGATGGGGGGGAGGGGAAGCTGCACCTGCACCTGCATCACAGCCCCCAGGCAAGCTCTGCTGCATCTGCCCCCCAGCCCCTGCTCCTTCCCTCCAACCCTGGGACCTAGCGCATGGGCAGCACGCCCCCCCCCCACCCCCCCCCGCCCCCCACACCG